CTGCGTAGAATGTGCGCGGGGCCGTCAAGGATGCTTCGATGGGTTTCCTCACTGACTTTGTACTGGCGAAGAAGTTTCTTTATGTGGTTGAACTGCTTTGCGGGCTTCATAATTATGTACTCTAGTATTCTATAGTAGTTCCTATTTTCGTTTCCATTATTCCCCGTATAACCCCTATACAACCCATTGTATTCTATCATAAGGGGATAAGTGGAGGTACTCTATGGGTTATATAGGGTTTTTGACCTACTAACTAAGTCCCCCTGACCCTCCAAGTGAGGTTTCAAGTAAGTGCTGCCCTAAACCCTAAGCCCTAAACCCTAAACCAACGGGAGCTCATACTGGGCTCCATTGGGCTCCCCTAGGAGCAAAGTTGAGCCAATCTAATGGGTACTACAGGGGCCAAAAGGTTTAGGGTTTTAGGGTTTAGGGTCTATGGGTTCAGTGTATTATTTTGGTAGGGGGTGCCTCAAAGAGACCCCCAACATGACGTTAGTAATTCTTCAGGCCCCTGCGGTATTTGTTTATTGCCAATCAGCGGCAAGAGGCGTTCGCGGTCCGGCTGTAAGTATCTCATGACAAACAGGACGGCACTGCAGGGAGTTTCAGTGCTTTGCGTTTCAACCCTAAGAGCCCAGAGAAATAGGGCTTAAATATATATGGTAAGAGAGGTTTAGGGTTTATAGGGTTTAGGGTTTATAGGGTTTAGGCTTTAGGCTTTAGGCTTTGGGGTTTAGGGTTAGGGTTTAGGTTTAGGGTATACTCCCAAAACCTTAATAACGATGATAGGGATATGTGGGGAATGTAGGGGTTTAGGGTTTGGGTGTTTCCCAAAGATGCTGGGACTACCACAGAGATCAAGTCCCTCATTAATGCTGTGCTGGCTTGAATAATGTGTTTGGGCCGCCGCTTATTCACTGTCAGGCCATGTCAGGACATTGTTGGGAAGACCTTCTGTCATGTGTTTTGGTTTTGGCGTCCTAAAACTAAGCTAAGAAAAGGATTCTAAAGGCTGCCCTTTTGAAATCCTTTCCCAGCTCAGCCCTTATAGATATCCAAGTAATTGCCAAATCTCGAATCTGAACCTAATTAGTTTTATTAAGACCTTTCTTCCGAAACCTCAGGAATGCTAGCCCAAGACCATCCCTTCGTAAATCACTCCCCAGAGGCCTTTGAGTCGCGGGAGGTTCTGAAGCGGTTTTTGAGGACGCCTAATTTTTGAATTTTCTTGGTGGTTTAGGGCTTAGGGAAGGATTGGGGGAGTATAGAGTTTCAAGAGAGTGCCCACTTTTTTTCCGATGCGCCAAGTAGCCTAAGATGGTACTTCAAAGAATTCCTCGCAAGATGAGCGCGCCTTTCTCTATGGGAGCCCTTTTGTGTAGTCCCAAACCCCCCACTCCCCCAAATATTAGATACTGCCCATTGTGGTATATTACAATATATTGGGAGTATTTAATATTAGGGGTATGATGGGGAGAGGATTAGAAATTTTCCTGAAATGCACCAGAAACTGAAGTTCTGATTGTCCAACCCCTACGGTAAGACACACATGAGCAAGCCGCAGAAGAGCTAGCAAAACTGAAACTTCGAAGCTGGAGTTCCTACATGGGGATCGTCCAAAAAAACATGTTTAAAAATATATAAGCGCGGGGACGCATGATGCAATTACACTGCGGGCAAAAGCTCGCGAAAGGGCGGCGAAAGNNTTGTAGCGTGGCATAGCTGGACCGTTACGCAAGCATCATCAGTATCACTGTCCATCAATGTCCATCAAATTGCTTCCAGATGTTGCAGAACGGATTTTCGCGAAAGGCGCGCAGAGGTGCGCGAAAGGAACGCGAAAGGCACACATGGCCTGGGAGGGTGGTTGGCCATTCGGGCTTTTATGAAAAGCCCGACTTACTGAGTTTTTAGCTTAGGTTGTAAATGTGCGGAGTGGGCTTAGGACCGTCTACTAAATAGGTGATTATTAGGCCCCCTGACCATAAAGGACC